TGTGACCAAATTTCAAAGTGACACTTGCTGTCTTTTGGCATACAAGTTTCACAGTCCCGCGATCATGTTTACCAACTCTTATTTATTCGTCCATGTCATTTCAAGCAGTACAGCCAAGCATTATCTGTGAGAGATCTGTCGAATTCTCTCTCGAAACAATTACCAACAGGCCCACGCGCAAACATTTTACACTAATTCTTTCAAGTTTATTTTTATCCATTTTAATTCTATTTTATATTCGTTGTATTGAAATGGTTGCCTAATCCTCTCGTCACTTACAAGGTTGTTATTTAATTNTTATCTTCCCGGGGAGAGAGAGAGAAAGAGAGCGCAGTATCATTCGCCGATAGTATCCGTGGCGCTGGTATGACTATGTGATGTTTTAGTTCTCTCAATGCATATTAGATCTATTTCGTGTTCGGTACTGTTCGGGTCGTTCGGGTACTGGTATCAATGATCATCAATGATGCAGTGACGGTATTATCTGGGTCAAGGAGCAGGCTTTGTGTTTGTAGGTTTTTACATTTTCAGTGTACATAATATTACAAAATTAAAACTGAGTAAATAAGATGTAAAAGTGATGATAAATCGGTTTTATAAACAACTATTTTGCAGATTCAAATGCTGCAGGTCTCAATGAGAAAAATAAAAGGAACTGGCGAACGAACTCCATGTAATTTAGAAGCGTTTCGGATTTGTTTATTATTTTTGATATTGTACTGATGAAAATCTTTGCCTCAGTTGTAAAGAATGACACACTGATCAATTATAAGAAATCATGAACACTATCAGCTTGAGGCTATGTGTAAATGTTTTTGATTATTGTATGTAACAGTAAATATGACATAAGTTTTTATGTTCTCACCTGCTGATGTTGACATCGACGGAATATGTACTTAATTCGCTGTATCCAGAACTTCTTGCAGGATGGCATAATTGAGACCCATTCTTTATAAAGGGCCAAACTGAATAGCAGTCTTTCCTTTCTTGCACTTGATGACAGAAACGAATTCAGCTTTTAAAATGTGTTTGAAAAGCTCAAGATGAAGGACAGTTCTATAAAATAATGTTCATGTTTATTGTAGCGTTAAGATTCTTGGTGAAGAATCTAATCCACAACTTCCCAGGCGTGAAGCAGTAGCACTTACAACTCAACCACAGTGTTCCATAGTACTTGAAGTGAATAATATTGTACCGCAATATGGATGGAAGCAAAGCAGAACAAGATTTAGAAGTGAAGATGCAAGCTAATGATACAAAACTGGATAGCAGTGAAATGCCATTGAGATATTCCTCAAATGATGACGGTAATTATTATGTTTTTGTGTTAATGGTCGCTGGCCATTTCGTCCTACTGTATGCATATGCTAGAAGAAGTGGATGATGATATGTATTTGTGATTCATTGCATAAAATCTAATTTTTCCTTGTAGAATGTGCTAAGTGATTTTCTCTTATAGATAATGGAATTGTTACTAGTCTGAACTCCTGAACTGTGTTCAGATAACTATAGAATTTGATTGAACATCATTTAATCAATGAGAATTTCTGATACTATTTCA